AATATTTTGAAAATGATGATGGCAGCATATGTACAGATGTGCTTGACACAATGGATATATGTATGGATTGTGATAAGAGCTATAAGAGCACAATAAAATGATTTATTGTTTTTCTTAAATTCAATTTTTAAAAAGAAATAAAACCCAGCAATTGAAAACCGATGTAGCCAGGTTTGTGTTTCCCTCTCATCTCAGCATCTGTACCTTGAAAGGGACTTTTGATCTACTGTAGGTCACATGAACTGCGTCACTATGTTTGCACACACCTAGAATGCTTCCAGGTGTAACTTTTAATGCTTTGTGCCCTTGATGACACATAAACACTTTGATATTAAAATCATATTGTTCAAATATATTGCTGACTTTAGTAAATAATCCAAATCATGTCTCTGAACCAAGTTAAAGTGGAAAGAGTTCGTATTGGATAGATATTGCAAAAGTAGTCATATATGTGCACATATGTACTTACATAACATATGACCAATGCAGCCCTTTTTAAAAACGGCTTCATGGTAAGTAGGACATTTCTACTGCTGCTTGTTGTCAGAGATCTGAAACGGGGGTAGAAAAAACATTAAGTCAGGGTAAGATTCTTTCTTACACAGCATTCTCATTTCAACATGAATAATCTGAAACTCTGCAACAGGCCATAAAGGACGCAAGCGGATAGAAGGGCTTGTGGAGTCAGACTCCCTGTTTCAATCCCCTAGTTCTACTGCTTAATGTCTGAAAGGCCTTGAGTGAGTTTTTCTCTTCATCTCTGTTTTCCTCACTTACAGAATAGAGCTTCTAACATTATCTACATCATAGGGTTGTTATGGGAAATGAATCAGATTCCATATGGAGGAGGAGCTAGCCCCCAAACCAAAGCCGAACCCATCGCCACTAAGTGAGATCCAATTCATGGCAAGCCCATGTGTGACTCCCCATAGGCTTTTCTTGGCTGTCCTTCTATGGAAACAGATGCCGAGGCCTCTCTCCAGCAGTGCCACGGGTGAGTTCTGACCACCAAAATTTAGGGTAGTAATTAAATACCAGGAGCTAGCCGAGTTAGCTATATTTCTGCGCCTTCTCTTCCCAAATAACTCAGGCCTTCTGGTGAGTTCGTACTTAGTATGGTGCAATGGATTGTTTTCATATGGTCTTCCTGTCATGGCCTTGATACTCCCACCACAGGGTGGGCCTGTGTAAATAAGATGCTTCTGGCCAGCTAGGGGGATTCCACAGCATGCTAATCATGCCAATAAGATACACAGCACCCTTGTGGGGGTGGTGCCATGCAAAATAAGGCCTGTGGAACAAATTGACGGCATTTGTCATCTCACTAGGCTTCCAAAGAGCCATCCCAGAGGCAACAAGGGAGGCCCTCACTACCACCCAAGAAGATACTGTGGCAGGTGCATCTTTTAGAGCCAAAGTTCTTGCACTGAGACCCTCCTAGACTCGAGAGACACATCAAAGAAAGAGCGGGAACTGTAATACGAGAGGCAGCACAAGACGGTGAGGGGCAGTAGTAGCAGGAGACACTGGCACAAACCAGAAGCCCTGCACAAGACAGCACGGGAGTCGACCCTAGAGAGGGAGAGCGGAGTGCCTCTGGGTTTGCTCACCCATAGGCCTAAAGCCTAGTACCTTCAGGTCAAGGCTGCTGGCACTGATCAACAGAGATAAGAGTTTTGGACACTTCTGTGAGCAGGGCAGCATCTGGCCAGGCCTCGCCTGGGCAGGCCAGCCCAGGAGACCAAAAGACCAAGGGGCTGAGGTCAGAGAAACCAAGGGCAAGAAAAAGGCTTGCAGAGGGGTGGTCTGAGAAGCTGTTCCAAACCCAAAACTGTATATGGACTCATTCTTGATCCTGATTGTAAATTTTCACTTCCCTAAGAAACCCCATAGAACTGAACTCACTGTCATCAAACGGATTCTGACCAATCGGGACCCCAGTGAGCGGGGCAGAGCTGCCCTGTAAAGCTCCCGGGATTTTATATCTTTAAGGAAACATACTGTTTCATCTCTCTCCAGGGGAGCAATTGGTGGGTTTGAACTTCCAGCCTTTCCAATAGCAACCCAATGCTTAGCACCCTGTGCCACCAGGGTTCCTAATAAACTGTGCCATCAGAAGTATTGTTTCTGAGTTCTGAGTGGCCACTGCAAGGCATTATCAAAGCCACAGGGGAGTAGGGAGTGTGGTGGAAAGGATGGTCAGACACGGTAAAAGGGCAAGAGGAGGGTAAAGCATGCGTGACCCTCCTTCACTCAGCCTTGGGTCCATGACGCTGGTGGAGAGTCACCACCCCCCCTTCCTGCAATTAGAGGAGTTTGACACATAGGAGTTTGGTGCCTACTGAACATAACTGAAGACAAACAGTGTGTCCCATCCACACAAACGGTTTCACAAATCTGTTTCCTGCTTTTCAAAAGGTTGGATGAAGCTCAGTAATTTTTTCAAGGTTACAAGTCAGTCGACATTAGTGCTGGTGGCCAAGTTCACCCACACACTTCATATAATCTCCTTGCTTGCCAATGTCCTTTGGAACCAAATTAGATTGTAAGAATAGTCTCTTCTGGAGGGGTAGGGGCCCTGTGTGGGCCCTGTACCTGCCCCAGCCCACTCACAAGGATAAAGTAAGAGCACTGTGTATCTACATATATGAAAAATAACCAACTGGTTTGATAAAAACGATGGATGCGAAGCAGAAGTCAAGTGGCACACACACCCAATGGAAACCTAGTAAGTCATCATCACTTACCTACAATTCTCTACATTTTAAATTACTGAGAAGATGAAAAAGAAAACTGGAATCAAATCACAAAATCTTTCAAGTATTTCCCATATCCTTGTTATTTTCCCTACTCTTTCTCTCTTCATTTTTCCCCCCTCAGAGTATTTCTCTCCAACATTTCTGAAAACCTGCATTTGAACATGGTCTCTTTACATGAGGAGGATGTTCCATAAGAAATGCTTTGCCAAAGCTGTAAGTTACTACAAAGGGCTAGTGCCTCACACAGAAAGCTCCCCTTCATGACAGCTTGCAAAACACATGGGCCCCGGGGTGTTTTGTAACAGTTAAGGGTGTCCAAATGGTTCTATATGATGACAGACTCCCTCAGAACAAGTCCACTGCCTGCTTAGCTCCCTTCTCTTCCTGGTTCATTAACAGCTGTGGAAGTGATACATGCTCACAAATCCTGAGTTCTCGTTATTGTATTTACTGTGTGGGGAAAAATGGAACGAGACTGAAAAACACCGGAGCCACCTTTTGCAGGCCCTGGACTGGATCCATCCCCATAAAGTCCATTCACGTCCCTTTCTTCTCCCTCCACTTCCATCAGACAACCTGGCAGCACGAAGGTCAGGGATACTGTCAGCACTCACAACAACACAGGTGTGTACCTATTGTCCCAGAGGGGCTTCACGGAGTCACAACTTGTTGGAACTGTCAGTGCAAAATTTTGTATGTTTGCCTGTGCTTCCAAAAAGGTGACCTTCAACTCTGCCTCTACCATGAATATCTTTTCAAGCCAACTCAACAAACTCCACCCCCAGATTCTGCTGTTCTTTCACAAGTGTATTAGAGTTTAAACTCGAACACTGGGTATGCGGAAGGCTGGAGGCCCCATTGAATTCCTTCTGACCATTAACCAGCAATGTGAATTGGCTTGCCCATGGGCAGAGTGCATTATTATCACTCTAGCCTGGTCAGGGAGGGGCAGGCTAGCCCTTATGCTCTCCCTGGGTGTGTCCTTGTTAGAACCTCGGTTGCTCAGTCACCCCTTGACTGCCTTGGTTGGAGGGCTCTTAACTAATCTTGTAAACTCTTCTGTCTAGGCTAATGTATGTGTCCCATTCATCGTCCCATTCCCATTTCTGTAGGCCTGCCTGCTCTCAGCATTATTTTGTGACAGTTTCCTTTGCCCCATTATTTTGCAACACACCTGAATGGATAAGTGCTTTTTGAGTGATCAAGTTCTAGACTCCATTTCTCAAATTTGCTTGCTTGTTTTGACATAGAGGGGAAATTAGAAAGGAGCTCCCTTCCTGGGGCAAAACAAGCCATAGACTTTAGGTTTTGGTTCTGCTTTGTTTTTTTTTAATGTTAAACTTTGGTAGGCTCTCCACATTTGGTTTCACTGCAAGCCCACTTGGATGATCATTCAGTGAGCTAAATTTATAAAGTGCCTTCTCGTCTAGAAATACGTCCTCCATGGGAATACCATTTTCCTCAACAAGTTAAACAAAAAGCACTAAATAACGTATTCCTAAACATTAGCTCCACATAGTAACAAGAGCCTGGAATGGTGGTAAAAACAGCGGTCAAAGAAATGACCTCTTCCCAAGTTTTGATTTCTAGTTGTTGACCAGAAACAAAGGAGAAAATAAGCCCAAATGGCATGAACCTCTTTTCATTAAATACTAGGTCACAGGCTGGGATACCTGGGCCCGACAGGAAACACATTAAGGGTTGAATTCTCTTCACCCCAGCCCCACCAGAAAATTCCAGTGGAATTTTCCTCATTAGTCCATTACATAAGGTCTGCAAAATAGAGTGGAGCGTAGTTATAGGAACAATACTAGCAATATTAGTTGTAGTAGTAATAGTTAACAATATATAACATACAACAATTTGGAAGAACACTACACTTCCTTTTTCATAGACGAGAAGGCTAAGAACAAGAAATAATAATTCCAATATCAGATTATCTCAGCTATTAATTTCCATCATAATGTGCCAAAATGCTCTACAAATTAAAGCACTATTTCATTCACCCTTCCATTGCTTTCCCTTCAAAGCTGGGCTGTATGCCAACAACAGCAACAATAACAAAGGGGGAAAAAAGCATTGGGGAAGCCACTGAAATGGGAGCCACGGGTCCAGAGTTCAACTATGGCATTTCAAACTCATCTGCCGCATGACTTGGAGTAAATCCATAGGAGCTTAATGGGTGTCCGGTGACCAAACAGTTAAGCTGTCCACTATGAGCAGTTAGGTTTGTGGTGCCTCAGCAGACAAACCCACAGGCTGCCCTCAGTTGTAATGAACTCAATGAACAAGTTACAGCTCTATCAATGAGGGCGTTGAACTGACTGATTTTCAGATTCCCTTCTGATAAAAAAAAATTGTGATTCTTAGATCTTCTCACCAACTGCTGACCTCATAGGGAGCTCTGGTGGCACAGTGGTTATACATTTGGCTGCTAACCGAAAGGTCGGCAGTTCAAAATCACCAGCCTCTCACGCCATGGGGGAAAGTGGAGGCTTTGGACTCCCTTAAACAAGTTGCGGTCTCAGACATCGACAGGGCAGTTCTACCCTATCCTCTACTCAATGGCAGCGCCTTTGGTTTCCGGGGCTGACATTTTCATCGACAACCGAAGAACAGTAAGGAAAACAGAAAACATGCTTCAAAAATAGGATCACCAAGGGGTTAGAGGGATGTGATATGAATTATCTCCCACGTTAAGTAGATCCTTCATAATTATTATTTCAGATGAAAAACATTTCAACATTAGCTTAGAGTAATGGCACTGGCAAAATGTGCATTAGGCAACTTTG